TGTGGAGATCAGAGGACAGTTTCCAGGAGTTAGTACTCTCTAGTATGTGGGTTTTGTGGCTGGAGCTCAGATTGTCAGGCTTGGCAGCAGGTGCCTTTGCTCCCTGAGCCACCTCTCCCATCATGCTCTAAACTTTTTTAAAACTCACCCAATTCCTATGTTGTAGTTTATCAGTTTCCTCCAAGTTGTCTTTTGTGATTAAAGTATAGTTGCCCAGTAATCATCATTCAAAACTGAGCTGCAGAAGTCTTCCTCAGCAGGTGGAGTAGATTCTTCGAGATCCTAAAGTCAAATGGACCTTTCTGTCCTCCTGAGTTTAGTAGGGGTTGCTCTGGTTTCATCTGCTTCTCTTTGTTCATTTGTTCATGAACACTCATCTTTTGTCCTAATGGCATTTTCCCTGTGTGATTTCTAATCCCGGTTGGATACACTAGTTTCGCTTATCTGTAGTGCTATGTTCTAAGACTCCCAATGGATGCATGGAACTTAATACTGAATTTTACTGTGTTTTTCCTTATATATGTACATACAAAGTTTAATTGATAAGTTAGCACAGTAAGAGATTAATAACAATAACTAAAAATAGAACAGTATAACAGTAGGTACTAATAAAAGTTATTTAAAACTTACCATATTTATTTCTGGAATTTTCCAATTAATATCTTCAGGTTCTAGTTGACTGTGTGTAACTGAGACTATTGAAAGTGAAACCACAACTTGGTGTTAGGGCACTGCACATTGTCATGAAGCCTGGGCCTTTGCCCGAGGTCTCACAGCTAGTTGGTAAAAGGGTCCAATTCAGGGCATCCTGAGATCTTTGGAGGTTAAAAAAAACAAAAAGAGTGGATTCGAGGAAGACAAGACTGTAAATAGAGAGATCAGCTAACTGGGTTTTTGCTGAGCAATTAAGGGCAAGTGCTAAAGCAGTTCCTATCAGAGTAGGGCTAGATTAAAGTGGTATTCTAGATGTAAAATGTGGGGGCTTGTTGCTGAATTGGCAGTGAGAAAAGAAGGAAGAACCAAGGGTAGAGCCAGATTTCTGTCTTGCATGACCTAATGGATGGTGTCCATGGCCCAGAGGGAAGACTGCAGAGGGGAGAGGCAGCAGGTCTGTGGTCAGGAGCACACCTGACAGCTGACTTCTTTCATCCTAACTCTGCCATTTGCTAGCACTGTCATCTTGAGAGGGTTACTTAAGGTTTCTGTGTTTCCCTTGTCAGATGGAAATGGCAGATCTACTCCACACAGTTGCTAGAGAATTAAATTAGTTCATTATTGTTTAGTGTGTAATCAGTGCCCAGTATCAAGTCAGCGCTCTGTAAGACTTTGCTGTTGTGCCTCTTCTTTTCTAAGGTAAAAGGAATCTAGTTTTGCTAATTTCAGGTTTGAGGTGGCCTTCCAGTATCTAGGTGGAATGGTTGAGTTAGAACTAGTCACAGATTTTGCAATCATTTGGGAATAATCTGGGAGCCAGGTAGTTCCCTAGGGAGGAAACACACTACTCAGGGAGGAAGAAGGCAGAAGAGGAGAAACAAGGGTGGAATAAGGGTAAGCCCAGAACAGTGAGGCAGCGTCATCATTGAAACAAAGGAGGAAGTATGCCAAAACAAGAATAGCCAGAAGGTCAAGGCTGTGCACACCTCAAGGGTTTAAAGACTGAACAGTACAAATCAGATTAGGTCACTAGCAACCTTTATGAAGTCCATCTTCCACTGAACCAAGCCTTGGTTGGATGCTTCCTTCTCCTCACAGGTGAACAAAGTCCAGCCCTGTCCTGTGCCCATGTCTTGTTGTGCTGTGTTGGAGCACAACTCACGTTGACCTTTGCATTCTTCTCTGAAGCCTATTTTGGGATGTGCGGTATGGGGTTTACCTTTTAATTCCAGGTCCTGGTTCAAGCATGGCACAGCCTCATCATGAGCTGGAAGTGGACTGCAGCTCCAGCTTCACACTCCGCCTCCAAGTGCAGGCTTACTGCTTCCCATGGTATGGAGCCTTACAGCCCCTAAGGGAGATGGGTTCATTCCCATTTGCCATTAAAAAGTTTAAGGCTCCAGAGGTTAGCTGCTTTCTAAATCAGCTGGCCAGGAAGGGTCAGAAGAGCATTACCACAAGATGATTTTCCCCTAAAGCCCTGGGCTTTCAATAGCTTTCCTCTGTTGCCCTCTGTGGGCACAGTGTGTGCCATGCACAAAGAATCAACTAAGAGCAAGCATGGGCTTTAGGAGTTTAAGAATATTTTGCTAAACACATGTGATTTAATATTAATAGCTACATGTAAATAGAGAGTTTAAGAATATTTTGCTAAACACATGTGATTTAATATTAATAGCTACATGTAAATAGAGAGTTTAAGAATATTTTGCTAAACACATGTGATTTAATATTAATAGCTACATGTAAATAGAAGATAGTCTCTCTTTTCATCAGAATGTATCTAATCAGATTTGCCTAATGATTAGAAGTGGTAAGGTCTTAGTGTGTGTGAAAGTTGAAACTTTCTTTGGGGTTCATGCTTGCATTAGGGAATCATCAGAGTTGGTGAATGATTCAAGTCAACAGCTTCAGCAAATCTCATTTATCACTTCCTAAGCACTATGATCCCTTGCAGAAGCTGATTAGGATGAGGTAGATGCTTTCTTCTGATTAGCCAGTAGCTTTTTGTTGTTTAGTGACAGGATCGTTGGCCCAGGCTGGCCTGGAATGAGATCAAGTCTGTCTTTACATAGTGCTATTTCCTTAGAAACAATGGAGTTTAGATAAATATGGAATGCAGCGTCCATTTTGTTGTATTTATTTACATGCTCAGGAGCACACCTTACCAGGGTGCTGTGAATTGTGCACAGGCCATTGGCCTACATGATGAGAATGGTAGAAAACTGAGGCATAGAATCCCTATGTCATAGGACTCCCGTGTCTGGGCAGCACGCATGGCATGTGGGTGATAGGTAAGAGAAGCCTGTGCCAGGGCTGTCATTGCTCAGCCTCAGGATGAGATGAGAATTGCTATCTCTGGGTCTCTTCCCGTGGCCTCCAATGATGCTAGATGCATCTCATTTTCTACTAAGCACAGCAGAAACACTTCATTTCAAGGTTGGCTCAGTATAGAACTTTAAAACTTTTCACATTCTTTGGCCTGAATATGAAAGTCAGGTAATTGGAATCCAGAAGTCTCCATGAGCGCTATCAGTAGCACTGTATGATAGCCTGACTTGCTTTGAGTCCACTTATTATTGTTCCATTGACTGTGTCAGGCACGAGGCCTACAAAAGCAGGCACTTGCTCATAGTAGGCACTAATTTGTTAGATTTTGAATAAGCAAGCCAAATTTAAGAACCATATAGCCAATGTTTTTTCTTCAGAGTATCTTATGCAAGGTTGAATTTATACAAAATTGGGGGGGAAAACTTTATTTTAAGGTTTAGTAATTAGTGTGAATGAATTGAGTTTCTGATTTGTCAGGATTAAAGCATCAAAACATGAACATAAAGCTTACTTAAAGCAGTGCACATACTGATGCTTATGTGTGAATCATTATGTGTCTTTATACAAGTATGAGAACACTATGATTTGTGTAACCCAGACTCAAAAGCATCACCTGTGTATAGGTCACTTACCTGAACACAGATGCACTTAAGCTCTGTGTCCTGCTCATTAGGCCACACTGTGATTTTATTTGTCAGTGACAAATGTCATAGCCATAAAATGAGGTACATAAGAGATTTTAAGCTAAAAGTGGCAATTGAGATGCATCCAAAAATACTTTACATTTGTTTCACAGCCAGCAGCTGAGAAATTTTGTGCTCACTTTTGGAATGGAACTCTCTGTTGGCCGCCTCAGGATCAGGTTACCCTCTTGGACACTGGAATCATTAGAACTATAGAACATTAAGAACATAGGACCAGGTGGTAGAGGCTTACTACTCAGGAAGCTGAGGTGGGAGGGTAACAGGTTTAAATTTGTTCTAGGCTACAGAATACATTCAGGTCAACCCTGGGCAGCTAGGTGAGATCTTGTCTCAAAACACAAAATGAAAGAGAGGTCTGGGGCGATAATTCAGTGGGAGAATGCTTGCCTAGCATCTGTAAGACCCATGTTTCACTTCCCAATATTAAAACAAAACAATAAAAAGCAAAAGCTTCAGTGATGGGATGTTTTCTGCATTAGGTAGTCCAGGGCCTCCTGGATTCAGGTTCCTGCCTTGTGAAAAGTGACATCTGAGCACATAAATTCACCTTTATTACTTGGAAAGTTAACAGGAGGGTGGCATTCTGAAACTGATTTGTATGGACTTGGAAAACCCAAAAATCTGCTACTCACCTGGTTACATTTATTTTGTAACCCACTAGTGATCATCAAAGATACAGGATTAGAGTTAAATTGGAATAAACTAAATTTAACTGCACTGTGAGTTAACTTTAAACTTATATGCTTCATGTGTCTGTGTGTATGTTTATAGATATTGAAATGGATTGTGTAGATTTTCAAAATGTTTTGAACTTTTTATTCTAAGTTTTTAATTTTTTTTTTTTAGTGTATGAGTTTATTGCCTGATTGTTTAAGTGCACTCATGTAGTGCAGTGACTGCAGAGGTCAGAAAAATGTGCTGAATTCCCCTGGAACTGGAGTTACAGATAGTTGTTAGCTGCCACATGGGTATTGGGAATCAAACCTGGGTGCTCTGCAAGAGCAGCCAGTGCTCTTAACTGCTGAGCCATCTCTCCAGCACCTATTCTAGCAGTTTTTTACCATGTATAAAAGTAGAATGATGGGACTGGAAAGATGGCTGTCAGTAAAGTGCTTGCTATGCAAGCATGAAACCCTGAGCTCAGATTCTCAGCTCCTGTGTAAAAAGTCAGGTGTGGCAATGCATGCTGATAATCCTAGCACTGGGGAAGAAAAGGCAGGAGAATCCCTGGGGGTTTCTGGCCAGCCCGTCTAGCTGAATTGGTGAGCCAGGTTCAATAGGAGACCCTGTTCACAAAATAAGTTAACAACTGAGAAAGACACACAGGACATTGACCTCTGACCTCCACACACTCATACACTCATGCATCTGCAAAAACACAGGCACCCCCCAAAGTAGAGAGAATAATTCAGTGTTCTCCTGCATGCCTTTATCTAACTTCAGAAATCATCAAAATTTGCTAGTTTTTGAAAGGTAGCACAAAAGTAGTTCCTCCTTATTCTTGCAGTATTTCCTGAACTGAACAGTGTGCTAGCATCATTCCCCCATAAACTACCTTAGTTTTCAGAAATATCAAAGGAATTGTATAGTTGTATATAACTTTCATATACTCTAAGATAAGGAGTCAAACATAATAAAAAGCCTTAAATACTCAAATATTTGGATCCTCTGCTTCTTCAAAGGTAGAAGGAACCGCATATTTAAGTTCTTTTCTTTGGAAAACTCAACAACTGGGACTATGGGACCAACCTCGAGGTCAGAATCTGTTAGACGGTGGGGCACCTTTCTATACAACTTACAGGACAGCAGATGGGGAGTTCATGGCTGTTGGAGCAATAGAACCTAAGTTCTACCAGCTGCTGATCAAAGGTAAGACCGCCTGCAGTTTCCTGTTTCCTTTTTCCTGTGATGTTCATTAACCTCTATTTTGAGACCTGATGAATTTCATTATGTCTTTTATTATGCATTCAACTTTGTAATTAACTTAACTTTGGACATCAGTATATTGTAGGGCATTTCCCCTGTCTTTTAAATTAACAGATACTCTGTAAAATAACTCAGGGTTTAAGAAACATTAACAGTCCATTTCATGGGATGGTCAGTGCTTTGATTACACTTGACACCAGTGGTGGTGGATATTTATTCTGCCTTGTGTGCCCAGATTTTCTCTACTCTTCCCTAGAAGTGGTCTACTGGCCTTTGTTCCTCGATGGACATCTCTTATGGTACTAAGGTGTTGGATGAACACAGAGCCTTTGTCAAGTGATATTTGAGTGAAGTTACTGTCACATGGTACCTCTGAAATTTACCTTTCTTGCAAATTCTTGTTTTCATAGTGTGCTGCCACAAGTTAGCAGAAAATTTTGGGTTTCTTCCTTTATAAAATAATTGGAGTTATTTTGTTCCTGTGAAATATTTCTATTTAAAGTTCACTCTACAGTTAACTTCATGTCTACGAAGTTTTAGAATATACTCTGAGATAAACCTGGCCATGATGTGTGTCTGTAAGCCTGGTAGAGGAGGATCATGATTTCAAGGCATAGAGAACTCCAGGCTCTGGGGTATGTGAGTGCAAGTGGAGGCCAGTGGTTAAAGTCAGGCTTTTTCATTTGCTTCCCACCTAAGTTTTTGAGACAGCGTCTCTCACTAAATTTGGTAGCTGGTAGAACTGGGGTTCGAATTGCTCTGTCAGCTGTGAACCTCCCATCTCCTGTAAGTGGTGTAGAAAGGTGTTCACCCTCCAACAGTTTGGGCAGTACAGTTACTTTCCTACTTCAAGCTTAGAATTTCATTGTTGATTGCCTTTCAAAGCAGTATACTATTCAAAATCATTTGTGTATACGTGTCATGATTGTTTTAACAAATACTCCAAGGCATTTTACCATCAAATGTATTAACTTCACTAACTCAAATATAGTTGAAAAATTGTATAACAGGATGGTTTGCATAGATCATATATGATGCCTTTATGCCCACAAATTAAAATATATAGAGACATACTTCAAAATTCTGGACTGAACAATGTTAAATGAGGGTCAGTTTTGGGACCAATATATCTTGGAAGAGCCCTGGAAGACAGCAAGGATACAGCACAGTGGAGTTGATAGCATGTAACAATCATGTGTATGTATGCATGACGTGTAGAAAACATAACTGTCTGGTCAGCTTTTTATTGTCACCATTCCGATTTCAAATGAAAGTATTTTCCTTGAAACACTTTGCAGTCTCAGGTCTAAGCAATGGCTTCGGCTGCTCTTGAGTTCTAGTAACATAATTCTAAGCTTTATCAGTATATTTTTATTCTTATCCTCTAGTAGGCATTGCATGATAGTGCAAGTAACTCCCAGTTTTTCAATCCTACCCCAGCATTTTCTTGTGAAGCTCAGACTTAGGCCTTTACCACATCTTGAATTACTTTCTCTGTACAACAAGAGCTAGGGTTTAACTTCATTCTTTGGCAGAGGGATTTCCAGATTTCCTGTACTGTTAACTGAAAAGACAGTTCTTTCTTCATTGATTGATATAGACATCCTGTGTGAAATCAATTAATTATAAATGTGAATGTTTATTTTTGGGATTTTCTTTTTTCTTTTCCCTTCTGTCAATACTGGCATTACACCTGGGGCCTCCCACAGGCTGGGTGAGAGCTCTACCACTGAGCTCTACCTGGTTTTTGACTTTTGATTCTGTTCCATTTGTCTTTATGCCAACATATCTTAATTATTGTAGCAAGTTTGAAATTTAGAAATATATGTTCTTCTCCAATATTGTTCTGGAAATTCTGGGATTTTCTTGAATTTATATGTAAACTTTGGGAACAGTTTGCCAATTTCTGCAAAAAAGGCAACTGATTTAAAAAAAAAAATCTGTGTCTATGGTGTGTGTGCATGTGTGTGCGTGCATTTGCATTCATAGGAGCATGGGTGTGTGCTTGCCACAGCACACATGGAGAATTCAGAAGACAGCTTTGTCTGATCCCAGGTCTGTCTTTTATTGTTCGCTGCTTCATGTGCCAGGCTAGCTGGCCCATGGGGTTCTGGAGCGTCTCTTGTCCCTGCCTCTCAGCCCACTGTAGGAGTACTGGGATTACAGATACATGTCACCACTCCCAACTTTACTTGGGTTCTGGGATTTGAACTCAAGTCCTCATGCTTGTGTGACAAGTACTTTACCCACTGAGCCATCTCCCCAAACCACACAGAGTTGAGAGTCTGACAGGAGTTTTATTGAATCTGAATATTGACCTGGGGAACATTGCCATCTTAACAGTATTAAGTTTTCTAGTCCGTTAACATGGGCTGCTTGCTTTCATTTATTCAGATCTTCTGTAACCTCACTGATGATTTGACATTTACAGTATGCAAGCTCTGTACTACTTTGGATAAATTTATTCTGAAGAATATAGTTTGATGTTGCTGTTGATGACAAATATGTTTTTAGAGTGTTCATTGCTAGTATATAGAAATGAAAGTACTTTTATCTTCTGACCACAGCCCTACTGAGCTCCTTTCTGGTTTTAGATGTAGACCTTTGAGTTTATCTTATTTAAGTTCTTTTCTTTGGATGAAGAGCTTATCACATGTGCAGATTAAGATTTTTCATTAAATTTCTGAACTTTTTAGACATTTCTTCAAAGACTACTTTCTGTCCTTTCTCTCCTGTCTTTCTGAGACTCCCTTAATGCACATGTTGGTATATATTATGGCATCTTACAAGTCTGGGAAGCTCTTAATTGTTCTTTATGCATGTTTCATTCTGTTCCTTAAGTTAGGTAATTGAGTTTCCTTGGCATGTGTGGCCATTGAAATCGTCCCAGTTAGCTTAGTGCTTACCTAATAATTGGACAAGGATACCCTTTTATGCCTTGATCCAATACGCTTTACATCCTTTTCTGAGATGTTCTGTGCTTTCTCACTTGTACAAAATCTCAAGGTTGAGTGATTTAAGCCTTCTTTGATGTCTTTAGGGCACACGTGCATGCACACGTGCACACACACACACACACACACACACACACACCATATATTCTTCTAAACTCTCAGGATTATGTTGGTGCTTTCTAGTGTTCCCTGTAGACATCTCATTCCAGTTTTTCCCTTAAACACTCTTAGTCTATGTACTCTCAAATGTTCATATTATGAAATCCTGCATGAGAGAGGAAAGGTGAGATTTGTACAAGCCCCGGTCAGTGGTCCTTGTGTACAGGTGCTACTTCATGTGGGATGATAAACCCATGAGGCTGAAAACATCCCTCAGTGAACAACATGGCTTAATGGACTCAGAACATTTACATTAGACTACAAATGGAAAAAAACATCCTCTAACCCAAAAGTTTGTTTATAATAAGCTGTTGAACATTTCATGTAATATATTGAATACAGATAATGAAAAACAATAGTTGCATAGATAAATGTTCACATCAGTGTAAGGTCTAAAACTATCAGTCTAGATTTTGGCTACCTTCCAGGACCTTTGTTCCTAGTACAAAGCCCTTTCAAGCTCTTATTTTACCGAGATAAAAAGAAAAAGAAATAAACATTACTTATAAAGCTGCAATACTGAACTTGAGGCTTCATTCTTGACAACTGTGATAAATGTCACATTAAATGTTTAAACTTTACTTTTATAGGTTTGGGTGTATTATATGAAGTATCAGGTTATTTTAATTCAACAAGACAGATAATACCATCCAGAGGACATTCCTTTTGAAAACCTACTCAGGGAAGAAATCAGTTCCTGGAAATTAGGCCATTAAAAACAATCTCCTCTTGCTGACGTGTCAGTAACTGTCTTGTGGCAGGGACAGGCTTGTTTGGAACACTTTCATCACTTCCACCCCTGTCCTCTCTAGCTCCAATATTCAAATTGATTATTTTCTCTGGACTCGTTTGAGAAACCCATAGAATACCCGATTAAGGAGAGCATGGTGGTCTCTTCATTGATTATAGCCACTTTTCTGAAAGCAAAATTATTCAAGAAATTGATTTTCTCCTTCAGGACTTGGACTCAATTCTGATGAACTCCCCAGCCAGATAAGCACAGCAGATTGGCCAGAAATGAAGAAGAAATTTGCAGACGTGTTTGCAAAGAAGACCAAGGCCGAGTGGTGCCAGATCTTTGATGGCACAGATGCATGTGTGACTCCAGTGCTAACCCTTGAGGAGGCCTTCCACCACAGTCACAACAGGGAACGGGGCTCCTTCATCACTGACAAGGACCAATATTCAAGTCCCCGCCCTGCACCTCAGCTATCCAGAACCCCAGCTATCCCTTCAGTTGAAAGGGATCCTTCTATAGGAGAACACACTGAAGAGATACTTAAAGAATTTGGGTTCAGCCAAGAAGAGATTCATCAGCTGTACTTAGATAGGATCATTGGAAGTAATAAGCTGAAAGCTGTCCTCTAATTTTCAGGCTCACAGCTCAAGTGAATTTGAATGCTGAATTTGTGCTGGGGAATGATGCCCAAAATTATATGTATGAAAATGCAGAATAGTAATGAAGCAATCCAACTATTCCAATCAAGGCACAACTAAAAACTGATTATGTAGTAATACTTGAGTCTGAAAATGATTTATCAGAAAGTCTGAGAAATTTTTTGTGTACTTTATATAAATTTGTGGCAGTTTTTCTGCCTATCATTTCACCTGATAAAATATATTTATTGCTATTAAAATGCTTATATAAATATTGCTGTAATGTATTTTGAATGAATTAATATAATTTTATTAAAGCCCTTTTCCATCCTGGAAGTGTACCGTGTTTTTAAGTCATAAAATGTTTCAAGAAATCCCTTTACATACCATTTAAATAGCATTTTCTGATGCATTGAAATATTTTGGACACTATTGTTGATAAAAAAGAGTGTCCTTATAAAAGTCTGAACCTTTTAATTTGGCAGAGAAACCATTAGGTCAGTGTCTTTGGATTTGGGTGTTAGCAAATGGTCTTGAAGTTTCCTTCAGAAAACTCTGCTTCCAGGTCATTCTACTGGATGCTCACTGTATGGCCTATTCTGATCTTCTGGTAACACCCTCTAATCTCAGGAAATTGTCCTACAACCAACTAAAGTCTGCTAGGTTCTTTTTCCTCTGGCCTCCTGTTTCTGCTCAGGCTTATCTTCTTAAAGATCACAATGAAAAGCAACTTTTAGAGAGCATTTCAAAGGAGTCAGGAGGCCATTAAAGGACCAGGGTTAATGCATGAACTAGGGAGGCTGCTGCTTGAGAATGTGAACTCTTGCACTGGGCAGTGAAAACTGAGCCTTTGACCCAGGGCCAAGGCTGACAAAGCCATTATCTTCTGAGACTGTAATAGAGATTGCCGCAGATGACAAGCTCACACTTTGTTTCTAGAGAGCATCCCAGCTATCAGTCATGGAGCCCACCGATGTGCAGCTCAGTGTTAGGATAGCTTCTCGGCACTGGCTGTCCTCACTTCTGTGGAATTTCCTTTGTTATCAGAGTCCTTCCCATTAAGACCTGCCACAATTTTTGCTTCTTGAGAGCAGACACTCAGAGTTGTCTGAATCTCTTTTCCCATATTGCTGTTCTCAGACTCCAAATAAAGCCCTTTTACCAGTGCATTTTCTGAGGTTTAATTGGTGGACACCTCAATTCATTAAGACCTCTGTCTTAATCACTGCATAGAGTCTCTGCCTTACCCTTGTCGAAGGTGCAGACACCTCACCACCATTGCATTTTATTATTTTTCTTCACATTACATGTCATTAACATGCTTCACCCCATGCACACACAAGAAGGGGAGCTTTATGAAGGACTTTGCACATGGGATTCATTGCTAAACTTTTAAAAAAATTATTTTATGTGTATGTGTGTATTGCCTCCATGTGGGTAAGTGCACCTGTGTCATGCAATTGCCCTTGGAGAACAGAAGAGGCTGTCAGATCCCCTGGAACTGGAGTTATGGACAGTTGCTAGTTGCTATGTGGGTGCTAGAATTTGAACCCAGCTCCTCTGCAAGAGTAGTCAGTGCTCTTAACTGCTGCGCCATCTCTCCAGCCCCTCATTACTAAACTTCTAGCTCCTGGAATAGTGGCCAAACTCAGTGAGAACTTAAAGTCATTGAACAGCATGGTGAAATGCTCTCGTTCTGCCTTTGCCCATGTATCCATCCCCTCTGACCATTCCCATGGCAATTTTGTTCCAGTCCCTCGATGACTGCTCATTTTCCCTTCTTGTCTTCGCTGCTAGTAGCACTGTTTTATTTTTTGTTGTGACTCTTATTGGTAATCTTTTTGATGCTTGTCATATGCCCACAGGCTTCAGTTGTCAACCTGGCACACCTAGGAAGATGGAACCTCAATTGGAGAATTCCCTCTGTTGGGTTGGCCTGTGGGCATATCTAAGTGGTGTGGAAGAGCCCAGCCAACAGTGGGTGGTTCCATCCCTGGGCAGGGGGTTCCAGTTGTGTTAGAAAGCCGGCTGCACACAGCAGAGCATGCCAGTACAGTGTTCCTCCATGGTCATTGCTTCATTTCCTACCTCCAGGTTCCTGCGACTTCTTGTCCTGACTTCCCCCAAGGAGAGATTGTGACCTGGGAGTTGACAGCTGGAATAAACCCTTTCCTCCCAAACTGGTTTGCTCAGTGTTTCATCACAGCAACAAAAAACCAAGCTGGAGCAATGCCAAACTGTTCTTTCTAGTCCTCTGTGGTGGTCTTTTCCTCTACAGACTAAACACAAGCTCACAAACATCAGACTTGTACAGGAAAACTTTTACCTGCACCACCAGTCCCATCACTACTGTCCCCCAGCACTTTGTACTGGAGTGCCTGAAATTTCTCCCTGTGGTGGTCTCATTTGCTTTTATTCCTTCCCATGCATGCACTGCATTGTTTTCCAGGACTAACAGTAGCGCTTTTGCTCCAGCTGGTTGATTAACAGACTCAGATTTGGCTCAAGCTCAGTCTTCTTTCTTGAACCTCCAGCCCTTCTCAACCCTAGGATGGTTTTGTGAGTGAGTATGAACTGTGGACCCAGAAGGCCTTGTGTTCAAATCTCACTCTACCATATGAGGTTTAACTCAATTCTTAGGAAGTGTGTGGCATGTTAGGAGAGCTCAGTAATTGCTAATTCCTTCTGCTAGGATCCTTTCTATGTTCACACTGTACTTTTTTTTTTTTGTATTACTTTTTACTATGGTTTACAATTTCTTCACTAGGTCATAGACTTCTGGAGTAATGGCTCTAGTATTTTCATCTGGTTTAAAAAAAACCTCATCTGTTCTTTTAAAATTGTACCCATGTGTGAAATTATCAAAGAATTAATAAAAATACTACATTAAAAAAATCTCATTTGTAAAGTATGTCAAAACAGTTTCCTGGGCCCCACTCACAGAAATTTGTCTACCATAGTTCTAGGGTGAGATCTACAAATTTGTGTTTTTACAAAGCATTTGGTTTATTATAATGCTTCCAATTCAAAGACTGAAACTTGATCGGTGTCTGTGTTAGCCAGTTTTGTCATTGTGACAAGTGATTCAAGGGAGTACTTATTTTGGCTAAGCTTCAGAAATTCCATCCACCATGACAAGCAGGGCATGACAGAGTCATTCACACCATGACATACAGGAAGCAGATGGGAACAACAAAAGGGAGGGTCCCTGAAGGATACACACCAGTGACCCAACATCTCCATTCCAACCAAGCACCATTTCCTACAGCTCCACCGCTTCCCAGGAGGCTATTCAAATTATAAATCCATCAATGGATTAAGCCATTATGAATTAGAGCCCTCCTGATCTAATTCAGAGATACATGCTTTCCTATCTCTCCTAGGTGCTTTTTTTTTTTTCAAGTTTATGAAAAACATTTTTTCACTGTTATATTCTTTTTTAAAATTATTTATTTAATAATCACATACTTAGAAGAAGCATTTCATTACAACAGCATTGATATATTCAATAACAATTTCCAGAGCTAAGATGCTTCTCTTTCAAAATTGGCTGTAAATTTTTAGGTTTACAAAGTTGAATTATTACATTTATACAATATTGTGCTCAACCCAGTCCAGTTGGCAATCAGGATTACTCATCACAATTTGCATTGTTCTAGCAGATATGAACCAAGTCTTTTTATTTTTATTTTTTTTACCATGGCCACTATTATGTTCTCTAAAAAATCTCTCTTCAGTGGATTGGTTAGGGAAAAGATAAATGCAAACAAGTCAAAATCTTTGAGTAACCAGATGAGCTAACTTAGATATTGATTTCTGTGATTGACTACATAAAAAAAATAGAAAATTTTTTTTGCAGGTTGTGAATTTAAATAATAAATGTATTATAAATAAGGTCTAGGACTGTGTGCAGAAAATGCCATGCTTCTTTTTACAAAAGCTATCTGTTGAAAAATTATAGATTTAGATGTAGGAACAAAGCCAGAAAGGAGAAAGTGGGGAACTTTGAGAAGGACGGAAAAGAAGCAGGCAACTGAAGACAGCAAAGTCTAATGAAAGAGGAATTATATTCTTGACTACATAGTTCAATATATATTTATTGTACCAGGAAGAAGGTAAACAGGTTTCATCATTTTTCAGATGACAAAAACAAAGACTCAATTAGTTCACTTCTTAATGTCTCAGGAATCTTTGTGGTGCCCATTGACCAAAAGAAATATCTAACCATTCAACTTCTAAGTAATTAGGTCCATCCAAGAAACTTAAATATAATATTCTAACAACCTCCTAGTTTGAAAAACATAATCTGCATAAACTGAAAGAAAACATATTTTAGTTTTTCTTTATGGTTAATCAGTTATTAATGAGATGCATGTGCCTGAGGACACTACATGGCTTCTCATGCCTTGGAATCAGATTAAACACTGTGTCCTTCATCTCTGTTCCATGTTAATGTTCCTGTAGAGCTTGCTGCTTATCACACTGACTGTGGAAAACCTAGCTTCATAAAAACCAAATTCACTGAAGAGATTATAGTACAGTCTTAGGTTGACAGTGTGAAACACACAGTAGTTCCCATACTGTCCAACTAAATTCACTGTTTACTTGATCTAAAATTTTAAAGATGCTGAGATATACCAATGAGTTCTATATGATCCCTGGGTGCCTTGGCACACAGTTTGAGATCAAATTTGCATTTGCCTAGGGAAATGCAAATAAGGAGAAGCATAACAAGAATTTAAACTTTAAGATTCTGACTAAAGTCTTGGTCGCATACCAACTTTAAAGGCCTTTCTTCCAAGACATTTTCCTTGCCAAGAATTTTTATTTGAACTCAGAGTCCAGTAAGGAAAATATGACCTACTTGAATTCTTTAAAATAGAGAAAATTTAATACAGAGAATTATGTTAGTGATAAGGAGAAGAGCTAGTGAGGCAATCCAGAGATGAACAGGATCAAGGGGTCAGGACTACTGCAGAAGGATGGGCACCAGGTGTTAACAGGCAAGGCTGTCTGGTAGAAGGCAGATCCACAGGGGAGATGCAGCCACCACCAAAAGCATCTCAGGATGAAGAAAACTAGGAAGTACCCCATTTCTCTTCTACCCCTGGATTTTTACCAATGCCTCTCGTTAGTCAGTTCTACTCAGAAGCCAGAGAGCAAGGGAGCTTGGGAAGTGTTATCTAGTAAGATCTCAGTGAACAAGGCAGTAACTGGCATTACAAAATGGTGTGCTATGTACTTCTTCTTTCAACTTGCACTTATTAGCAAATATTTACTGGGGACCTAAGGGGTGCCAGGTAGCACATTAGATGCTGGGAAAAGAAAAGAATTAACAAAGACTATAGAATAAGCACAGGACTATCTTATTCCAAAATTCACTAAGGACAATGAGAGAAAAAAATTCAGAATGTTATGTGACAGCTAATGATTTAGAGGAAGGATGAGATCCTCTACCATTTTAAGTCTTTAAGTCTAGTTATTTGACTTCTAGGCTGTATATGTAGAAAACTTGTATTCAGGAAAAGAAAATAGCCTATCTATAAAAGTTAGTTTATAGAAAAGGATTGAACTACAGGAGTGATCATGTGTAACATTGTGTGTGTGTGTGTGTATGTGTGTGTGTGTGTGTGTGTGTGTG